TTCTCCTTCACGAACACCGTGTACTCGGGCTGTGGGAACGCCGGCGCGTTGTCGTTCACGTCGGCCACCTCCACGGACACGCTGGCTGTGGCCCACAGAGAAGGCGAGCCCCCGTCCCGCGCTGTCACTACCAACTCAAAGCCAGATACGCTCTCGCGGTCCAGAACACTGTCCAGCACCAGAGAATAATAATTCTTATAGGTGGACACCAGCTTGAAGGGGACGTGGGGCGTCAGGGAGCAAGCGACCTGTCCGTTGGCGCCAGAGTCTTGGTCAGATACGCTTATCAGGGCGATGACAGTGCCCACCGGAGCATCTTCTTTCACTGGGAGAGACAAAGAAGTGACAACCACCTCAGGCGAATTATCATTTTCATCCAGCAGTTCCACTAGGACGGTGCAGTGACCAACCATAGGTGGGTTTCCTTTGTCTGTAACATCTACGTGAATTTCATAAGTGTTACTATCCTCATAGTTAAGAGCATCATTTACTTTTATTTCTCCAGTCCTTTCATTTATTTGAAATTTCCTTCTTATCATGGGTGGAACCAAGGAGCTGAATGAATACATCATTTCCTTGTTTATTCCTTCATCCGCGTCAGAAGCGTTAAGCCATATTACTAACGTTTGGTTCGCCTGATTTTCATACATCTTAACTTCATAAACGGGTCTGTCAAATACAGGGGCATTATCATTGGCATCTAACACCAGGATCAGCAGAGAAACAGATCCGGTAAATTCGGGTTTGCCTCCATCAGTTGCTGTCAGTAACAACTTAAGCTGTGGATTTTCTTCACGATCTAGTAGTTTTCGCAGAACAAGCACTGGGAATTTGTCTTTATCCTTTTTTTTAATAATATCAAGAATGAAAAACTCATTTGGACTGAGTTTGTAAGTAAGCATTGCGTTCTCGCCAACATCTGCATCAGACGCGCCTTCTAGCGGAAATCGAGAGTCAAGCAGTCTAGATTCAGGTATTGACAGCTTTTGTTCTTTCACGGAGAACGTGGGTGGGTTATCGTTAATATCTTTCACCTCCACCTCCACGTGGAAAACCTGCAGCGGCCTGTCCACGATCACCTCCAGGTGGATGCTGCACTCCGCGCTCCGCCCGCACAGCTCCTC